ATTTGACTATCAAAAGTTACAAAATGTCATCCGACTATTCATTATGTTCCAAACTCGTCATTTTCCATTAAAAATGTGACGCCCTAATCCAGTACGAACTGAAGATTAATAAATTAGAACATCACAGGGACCATCGAAGTGACTAACCCAAAACTTTACCTCTTGAAAAGGACATTTAACATGATTTAAATCAAATCTATAAAATAAACATGAGTTTAAACATTCAAATATAACGTTTGCAAAATAAGAGCTCCATCATTTAAATTCAAAATACATATTCATGAGAAATAGAGTTTATGACTCAAATACAAATAACTTCCCTGAAGAACATGCCACTACTAAGTATTAGAGACGTACTCTGATAGAATCCAAGCTAGAACTTTGCGATTGACGATGACTCCTCAATCCCTCCTCCTAAGAACTTGCAGACAGAAACACATTTCAAACGTTGAGCTCACAAGCTTAGTGTCACACAAACAACTCTTACATACTATATGCATTCATCACATGTACATACAAACGAGTACAAGCATGAACATGCAATCATTCCAACACAAAACAAAAGTAGGCATCATGGTGTAGTCGGAGGGTCACATAGCACCTCAGGGCTTACACCCCTCTATCATACTCAAGCTACCCTAGATATGACCTGAGTCACACATCATCAAAATCTTCATTTAGAAAGGCCCTCATTGCCTTGTATTTGGGACGCCTTCGAGGTCACATAGCATCGGAGCCTACGTCCAAGTAGCATTTAAAGTGCATAAGAAATGACTTAACACATCCAGATGACTAAATACACAAGATGATTATCGTACATCTAAAGTAGTCCACGTGTCCTTATCGTTTACCGAAACATCACACAAAGACAAGTGTTATGTCGTCTCCAATAAAATTATGGAGTTTATCAATTATTTCCACTTTAGTATTATTAGAGAAGTCCCTACGACTCATAAACCCCTTCCTGAACCCCTCAACAAACGACCATATTTTTTTTATATAAACAATGACGATGTTATTGATACTAGCCATTCAATATCAATACTAACTAAAGGGTATTGCTAATACCATGAGTATCAATACCAAAAATGGCTTCGATTTTTGGTAAATCCCTTGGTATCGATACTCCACTTATAGTATCGATACTCCCATGAGTACCGATACTAAAAGTGGCTACTAGAATTGAAATGACTATATCAGTATTGATACCAAGCCCAAGGTATCGATACTCGCAAAATAGTTTCGATACCACATGTACATATATCGATATTCTAAGCTTAAAACACCTTTGTTTTAAGCTACACGAATAACAATATCGATATTGTTTATCCAGTACCGATACTCAAGCCCAGAAAACCCTTTTTTCCCACAAAAATACAACCCCAACCCAATCAATTTCCTTCCTAAGGTTATTAAACGTTATGTAAAGTTTATAGGGATTGTTGGGGATCATAATATATCACTTGGCATGCTTCATATACCTTAAAAAAATCTAAATATATGATCATACAAATTTCGCACAACATGCTTAATGAACTCATACAAGCGAATAAACACAATAAATGACCTACATATGGTATAGAAGATTCATAGGTGTGTTACCTCAGTCCTAAGTTGTAATCTAACACTTTTGAGTTCACCCAAGAACAAGATTCTCTTTACCTTTCCCCTTGGAGCTTTCCCTTATCTCTTTCACTAATCACAAACAATAAAATGGGTTACTAACTTATCTATGGGCTTAAGAAAGTTAGAAACAAGACTCCTAATCTTTATAAACATTTTGGGAACATTAAAAAACTCTAAAACCAAAAACCCACCTTAAACCCCCACTTATGGTTTTTCATTGCTAAAGTTTGCAAAAGAACACTTGGATGAAATATTAGAGGGTAAGGATTTCAATTCTTACATTGGACTTCTTTGACAAAAGATGAAACTAACAAAGTTCTCACTTTTTCTCTTCTCAAGATACCAAAATGACAGATAAAGTTTGAATGTGGAGAGGAAGAAAACAAAGATGAAGAAAAAGAGGAATGAAAAACCTATGCATGTATGACCTCATGTAATAAAAGATTTTCAGCCTTTGAAATAATTTAGGGGCTATTTACTCTCCTAGTCCTCCTCAATTCTTTCATAAATAAAAAGTAGCCCCTTTTAAGCCCTAATGGACTCAAGCCCAACTAAAACAAGACAAGTTTTAATCCAACACTTTTAATTGGTTTCTTGGCCTATATAAAATTCTCTTGGGTTTACCCGAAACTACTAACTCGAAAATCGGGGTGTTACAATTAACAATCGTTTGAGTTGTACGCTAACTTGCTGACTAAAATGTGATAAAATATGATCTCATAGTCTCAAATGACTACAATTTCTCAGTTAACATGTTAACGCTCAACTCAGACGATCGCTAATTTTTTTAATGGACAAGTTTGAAACATAATGAATGTCTAAGCTTTCGTTCATTAATTTTTAATGCCTCCAGATGGTTCAGCCAGCTGCTGCCACGCCTCCGCCGCCTCGCTGAAGACTCTAGAAGCACCATGACGCCGAACATGTTATTGCCCTATGGTGAGTCACCACCATAGCTTTGGTGACTCACCTAGGTTCGCTCCTTTAACCACTCCAAAGAGCGTCTGTGGTGGCTATGAAAGCCACCGAACCTGCAAAAGGGAAAAAGACAAAGACAACAAGCAAAAACATGAACAGAGGGCAAGAACAAACACCAAAAACAACCAAGGGCAAGCAAGATACCAAACAGTAAAACCAAAAAAAGGAAAAACAGAGAAACTTACCTTCGTCAAAGCCCAACCGTCATCGGAGACACTATTTTACAGAAGGTAAAAGTCTAGATCTAAGCTGATTAGTATGCGTTTAGGATAATAGGGGCTTGGAATCGGGTTTAGGAAATTTCAGGCTTTAATTTGGGAAATTTTTGTAAATTCTGGCCACCGTGGACGGTGGTCGACGGTGGTCATCGGCGTCGGAGCACGACGACCGGTGGTGGCCGAATTCCCTTTGGTGAGGGAATTCTAGAGATAGGCGAGAGAGAAAAAAAATAGAAAAATGAGGCTTGGGGGCCAAAAGGCCGATCATATGGGGATTTATACCCTTCGCTAAACGACGCCGTTTAGCAAGGAATCTAGGGACATTTTTCGCGTGAGGTAAAATACGTGAACAGTCACTAGGGTTTTGTAATTTTCCATTTTAGTCATTAAAATTAAGTTTTATGTATATTAATTTAGTCTTAGCATTTTATTTTATTTTAATCCCTACCAGTATTTTTATATATTTAAGGCAAAATACCCTATTTAGTTTGTATAATTTTAATAATTTTTATTTTAATCCCGTATTAATATTTATGGCTAAATTACACTGTTAGCACCTAGATTTTTGATATTTCAAATTAGGGTCTTTAATTTTGATATATTACATTTTAATCCCTGATATTTTAATAATTTTCATTTTTGACCATAAATTTTATTACTTTTTAATTTAATTCTATAGTTTTAATTTTCTTTATGTTGGTCCTTGTTTAATTACAATTTTATTTTATTTTTATTATTACCTTTATGTTTCAATACATGAAATTTAGTAATTTAATTATTATTTTTTATTTTATTTTTATTTTATATAAATATATATACATGAAAGACTCATAGCTATATTTTGACAGAGTTATAATTTGAATAAAGGACGATATTTATTTTTTAATATTAAATAAAGAACTGTCTTAAAGTAATTAGATGTCCTATTATGATATTTTAAATAAATAAAACCTGAAAAATCAAATATGCCTATTTTAGTCGAATCATGTTATTATTTTAAATAAATAAATCATCCTATTATGATATTTATTTATTCACATGCTTTTCCCGCCAAGAAAATTCGTGCCTGTACGAAAACCGGTTACGACACAACCCAAAGACTCGAACAAAAAATAGATACAAACAAATTTGATTGTATCGACAAATGAACCACAAATGGAGATTAAACTATTGAAAAACCACCAAAACTTCAAATTAGAGTCGAGCATCGTGAGAAGCTATCCACGAACAAAAAATCGTGTATTCAAATTCAATCTGATGGTCTATAGAAGAGAAGATCAACAATATTACAAATAAGTGTCATATTGGTCAGTAATGACTTCGACAAATTCAACTCTAAGAAAACATAAAATAAAAAGAACAATCAAACAATCAAGAAAGAAGACGAAAAATGTGTCACAAATGTAAAATTATTCTTATTAAAAAATTGAAAAAGAAACAAAGAGAAAAGAGAATCGACAGTCAGCAATCAACATCAAAACTAAAGCCGTTGTCGACTAAAAAAAATAAAAAAAAATGATTTATAGAAAACTACACAAATTAAAAAAAAAAAGAAACTCTAAATTTTAATTTTAAAATTAATTGATTGGATTAACTCTTTCAAAATTTTAATCGGACATTTGGGGTGTGACCATTCTTATTATTATTATCTTCATCTCCCATAAGTCAATGGGGTCCACTGCAAGATGACCATGAGAGTCCAAAACACAGCTTTACTGGGGGGATAAAACTTAATTACTAAACACAGCTTCCTTTAATCCATTTAAGCCAACCTATTAAGTGTCCTAAACACGTGTGAACCTGAGAATCCATGAAGAATTCCTTTTATATAGGTTTTTTAATATTTCATGGAAGATATTGGCAAACTGCAGTGACATAGGCCACCCTTTTGTTTTATTTTTGAATCACTGTCAAGAATGATATAAAGCTTTTCCTTTCATTATAAAGGAGCTAAAGAAAAAACTGAATCTATAGGCAAAGGCCACGAGAGGCAAGAGAGTTAGCAATATCGTTGAGTTTGGTGGCCATTCAAGCCTTTTTTCATAACTGGGTAAATTTCAACGGTACTCAACTCTTTTAAAAACCAACTTAAACAATCATCAAAGTTCCACTAGCAAGAAGAAAAGAAATAATAAGAACGTTAAAAAAAAACCCTGACTTTGAAACAATCACTTGACGTGAAAATGAGAGACCAAGAGCGCAACAACAATGAAAGAAGAGTTTCAAAACAGTTGCATAATGTCCTCGTGCAAATATGCAACATAACATACACTTATCAATCAGTGGTAGCTGAAGCTTTTCATCTTAGGTGCTAGCTAAAATGCTGAAACTATCAATCAACCGGAGGAGCTCGATATACTGCTGGAACTGTGGCCGGGAAGAACATTTGCCTCACCCCCTCTGCCTTTATTATGGGGAAAATAATTCCAGATGCACTCTGCAGAATGTAGGGAAAATGTTCAGCACAAAGAGAGAGGGAGGGAGAGAGAGAGAGAGCAATCAACAGCATAAAGGGTTGAAAATTCATACCGAGATTAACCTAGCTCCAATCGACATGCGTTTCAGTGAAGGAAACGGTAGGATTAGACGACCAACTCCGTAAATTGCAACGGCAAAGAAGTGAAGAACCAAACTCAATGGGCGAGGGTTTAGACCAGAGAGTAAAGCTACTGGTCCTGTAGAAAAAACACCTCCAAGGCTTAAATAGTCAAAACACGCCTGCCTCATTTCTTTCCTCGCTTCATCAGGTGAAGCAGAGAACACCTTATAAAGGGCACCCGCCAGAGTATTTATTGTAGATGCAACAGGCTGCAATTCAAAGTATTTATTGTATACGGAGAAAGAAGTATGATTACTAGAACAGTATCTAAGAAGCCGACTAACCTTGCGTAAAGTGTAAAATGATTCGAGATAGTTGGTCAAGGAGGCTGCATCATGAAGGTCACGCAAAGGCTTGAGAAGATTCCGAAGTACAACAATATCAGATAATGCCACAGTCATTCCTCCACCAGTTAACGGATGGCGCATGTTGAATGCATCGCCCATTAGAAGAGCTCCTGGAGTCGGATGAGGATCAGCTGGCATGCTTCTATTCGGCATGGTTCTAATATGACCTTTGTTGACAGCGGTTATGAAGGCATCGTGAAGCTCGGGTGGAACCTAAAACAAACACTCTCTTCGGCTTAACCAAGGTAAAAATGTTTGCAGCAGGCAAGTGATCAAGAACAGAAGATACCTGTGGTGCCACCACGGTCTTCAAATAATTCGCCATTTCCCCATTTGCAATGGAAGGAACTTTCTTTCCAGGTACATCAACCAAGCATCGAACTTCTGCGCTACTGATCGGATAAAACAAGATAGGTGACGGATCCGCCAGGATAACATGCCCATGATTTGCAAATGGAAGTTCACAATTCTCTAAGACCAAACCAACAAAACAAGAGGGCACATCCACCTATACAACATTATCAGCAATAAAACAAATACATACCAGAGGATTATATCTTGTATTGAAGCAGAAAATGATTGTTTACTCATGGGAAACGATTCAAAGTTAGCAACTTTCACCTTGGGGTTGCAAAGAGAGTGGCGTAGGTTCGAAAAGCAACCATCGCATACAATGGTAAGAGGAGCATAAGCTCTTAGTTCTTCACCATCCTTAGTTTTGTATTGCACCCCTCTAATTGTCCCTTTTTCTTCAAGCAAAGATGTCACTGTTCCTTGCTCTAGCCGTACACTGAAATTTAACAATGTTCCTTATGTAAATTCAACAATGTTGCAGTACAATTTGTATCCATCACGAATCCATGAAGCAAAAAAAAAAAAAAAAATACTTGGGAAGAGTAGTAGCCTTTTCTCTCATCCTCTGTATGAAACGCCCGTTACGGAAGCTCCTACCAGAAACATCTGCACAAAATTTCTCCAGGGGATATGGAAGTCTAGTGTGTCTTCCATCTTTGAAGAGAGCGTAGCCCAATACTAGCTGAGCATCGATTTCCTCTACGCAATCTGGAATCAAAAGAAATATTAATCTATAGATTGCTTTTCAAATTATGGGAACAGATTCCACTCAAAACAAAACAAAAGCTTGTATACCCATACCCTCAAGGCCCAATTCAACCAGTTTCAGGTATCCTCCTGGCTGCAGCAGTTCACCAACAATTCTGTCGGGTTCTGTCAAGTCCCTTTCGATTATATGAACACGTCTTCCATCCTGAAATTAACAAAAACATCCTTGTAATTTCATTAGGACAAAATTTCCAATCAAAACCAATAAAGAATTGAACATAAATATATGTATGAAATATCTTTTTCATGGCAATTACATCAACAGTGTCAAAATCCACACCAGTTTGTTGTTATGATAAGATAATGCCAAGCACGCCAATTTCGTGAAACGTATCCATGTGTAATTTACGTGCGGCTAAATATTAACTAAATTTCAATCCAAAGCAATTAAAACCCAGATTTTCATCAACACTGAAATTTCTTTAAAATTAAAATCCCAACTTTTCTCTGTGATAATTATTAAAATATATTAATGGACTCGTAATTTAACAAAAGCAACCGATTAAAAAAAGAAACTACAAGAAAAATGGAATTTAGTATTTACCTCGCCAAGGGTATAAGCAAGAGCAGCACCGGCAACACCGGCACCGACAATGATGACGTCGTCGCCGGAACCGCTTTCAGGCGAGCATTCTCCAGAGCTGGTGCCATTGACAGCGTCGGTTTTGATCTCAATTTCTCTAGGAGAAACTTGCTTAAATTTCTTCTCCCTATTTTTATTATTAGGCCGCAAAACGAGAAGAAAAAGAAGGCTAAAAAGAGAAACCAGGAATGTAACGACTATATATAATTATCGAGAACCATCGCCATTTTCTTCGCACGACGAAACCCAAAATCTGAACTTTGAAACAAATTGTAAATGGTGGTAGGTTTGAAGTTGAACTTTGAAGGGTGTTTAAATGAAAACCTGCTATATGTGGTGGTGAGATGAGGTATGCTGTACATGGGACCAGGGGCTCTTAATGGGGAAGCGTAATGGTAGTTATTAGTTAAGAGTTAAAGCTAAGAATTGAAGAAGATTGAATAATATCTTTCAAGTTTACAAAACAGTTCTTATTTTGATATATTTTATTCTCAAAATTTACAGCTTTATACATTTTCTGTGAACAGTTAAAACCTGTGACAGTGTTCTTGTTATTTCCGTGAAAACAAAAAGATATTGTCTCTGGTAAAGAAAAGACAAGTTACAAAAACTAAGCTGAAGTGGAAGACATGAAGAGCGGAAAAAAGAAGTCCTAACTCGTCCTGGAATTTACGGCTTTTAGTTGTTGTGTTGAAAGCTGAAAATAAAGAAATAGTTTAGATTAGATTTACGAAACTTAAATGGAAACATGAAGAGGAGGATGCCCCGTCTCTTTTCTTTTTCTTTTTAAACAACACTTTGTGTGGGTTCCTATTATATCATATTTCTCGCCCTCATATCCTTTTCGTTTCATAATTCTTTTTAAAACTATATTATGGGTCATTGATTTTGATAACTAATTTCAAATAAAATAGCTTTAATTTTACATTTAGTTTTAAAACTATATTAATTTTCAATAACTACATAATAGGGATTAACAGGAGTCACGGGCCTAAAATTTTAAACAATTATAATTTAGATCTTTAAAACTTTCAAATAATTTAATTTGTTCCCACATAAAACTTTCAAAATTTTAGGTAAAATCTTCTAACGTAACCCTTTCTATAATTCTTAAAAATTCTCATTAAACTTCTCAAATTTCAAAAAAAAAATTAAATTAAGCCGTAATTATTTTTGAAAAAAATATATATGCTAAACTCTTTAAATGTTTTTGAAAACTTTAATTTAAATTTCTAAATCTTTTAAAATTTTGAAATTGATCTTCCAAATTTTATCACTAAATTCCATCGCTGCTTATTACCCTATTAAGGATAGTGTGAGTTAATAATAGTTAAAGAGTAAATAAAAATCTACGTATTCTGCCGATGTTAAATCTAAAAAATGAATTTCATTGTTAAATCTACTTTTTTGTGCTTGTTAGATCTTATTTAGTAAATACGATTAAACGACCAAAAATCAGTCTATTGCATTAGCCTTTTTAGTATCATTTGTGCTCGTGAATCATTTGGTTTTATTAATATTTAATTTATCCGATGTAATTATATATATAGTTAGTAAATTAATTAATATATTATAAAATATAAAAATATTTTTAAATACTAATATATTATCATTAATATATATTATTTATTAAACTAAGGTGATTATAAAGTAATATTTGTTCTAAGTACTCTAAATTATTTGACAACGAACGCTAAATCACCTTATTATAGTCGTTAGTGCTGGAAAAGTGATTGTTTACCCTTTGTTTTATAATATTTTGATATAACAAATTAAGGCAAAATGTTTTTGGATTTGAATTGAATTTGTTCAAAGTTTTAAAAATTTTCAAAAATAATTCAAAGTCCATTAAAAGTGAATTTGAGCACAAAAATGCTTTTCTGGGAAAGAAGTATCGATACTGTTCTTACAGATCGATACTGCATAAACAGTACTGATACTATTCCTGTGGTACCGATACTAAAGGTAAAAGAAGTATCGATAGTCTTAAGTTAGTATCGATACTATCAATATTGCTCAAATTACAGAATGCAAAATAGGTACCCATACCCATGGGGTACTGATACTACTTTACATAGTAGTATTGATACCATAAGTATATTATCGATACCGTCAAGTCCAACGACTAGTAACGACTAGTTTTATTTAAAAATAATAAAGAAAGTATCGATACTCATTAATGGAGTACTGATACTCCCTGTCCTGGGTAGCTTTATTTTGCATGGAATTTCATCCAATTGGCTCCAAATCACTCCCAATGGCTCCAAATCACTCCCAACGGCTAGAAACAGCCACAAGCTCATTCCAACATATAAATACAAATTCAAGACACTTGAAGAAGGCTACTAACACCTATCCAAGCATTCAAACACAAGAGAAACGTTTTTCACTCTTTATTTTCTTTTCTTGTAAATAGTTGTGTTTTTGTGAGCTTTAATTTGTAAACATCTTCCTTTTTAGAGGTTTTTTTGTTTACATCATTTTCCTTTTGTAAAAGGGTCTTGTATAGCTAAGCCTTTGAAAAAGTAGGGAGTTTGTAAAGGCTACTCTTGATCCTTGAAAAAGAAAGAACAAATTAGTGGATTTGTTAGAAAATCCAAAGTGAGGAGCTTAGGTAGTGGATGTAGACTTTGGTTGAGAAAGTCGAACCACTATAAATCATTGTGCATCAATTTTTCTATACCTTTAAATCTCATTACTCCTTAAACTAAACAAAAAACCAATTTTCCCCCTCTAGGTAACTTTTTCGGTTGTTCAATTGAGCTTCATAAATCTTAATAATTGGTATCAGAGCTTGCCTCTTTAGAAGGCTTCACATCCTTGAGACGATCATTGAAGAATCTCTACTGATTCTCGATGCAACCGAGAAGATGGCTTCAACCTCCGGCTCTTACTATAATGAAGGCTCTCAACCGGTCAACAAGCCACTGTATTTCAATGGAGCAAATTATGCCTATTGGAAGAATAGAATAATGCTCTTCATTCAAGCAAACGATCTAGGAGCTTGGAACTCAATCATAAGAGGATACTCCATTCCAACCGATGAGATGGATGATTGGAGTGATGGAGAGAAGACGAAGCTCTAACTCAATGCGAAGGCTATGCACATTCTATTTTGTGCATTAGACCCGGATGAATATGGAAGAGTCTCATTTTGTTCTAATGCCAAGGAGATTTGGGACAAGTTCCAAGTCACTCATGAAGGAACCAACGAAGTAAGAGAAACCAAAATCAGTCTTCTCAACCATAGTTATGAAAATTTCAAGATGAAACCGGATGAAGACATAAAAGCTGAAGATACTAACTTTTTTACCCATTTTTTATTTATTATTATTATTATTATAATTATTATTATTATTATAATATATACTATTATTATTATTAAAAAAATAATAATTACAAGCCCAAATCCCAGGCCCAACCAGAACCGGCCCAAACCCAAAAGGAAACCCTAAACATTTATGGTTTCAGCTAGAGTTTCTAAACCCTAGCTCTAGCCGCCGCCTCAATCTCAGCCGTTGGATCTGAGAGATCCAACGGCCCACACTCCTCCAGATGCAAACCCTAGGGTATCATACCCTAAGGCCACGCGGCCGCCGCAGCTACTCCCATCATCTCCACCGCTGCCACATCTCGTCGAAGGCTTCCAGAAGAGCCACTCCAGCCGCACACGTCTCCCCCAAACGGTGAGTCACCACTAGAAGTCCGGTGACTCACCGAAGAACCCCTTTTGGACCGGTCCGAAGCCATCACCGGTGGTGGCTATAAAAGCCACCGAGCCCCCTGCCAACAGAAAGGAGAGAGGAAGAACGGAGAACAGAAAAAAAAACCCCACAGAAAGAGCAACCAAAAAACCGAGAGCAAAGATACAAAAAAGGAAAAAAAGAGACCAACTCACAACAACTAGCAATCAAATCGAGAAGAGAGAATGAGGAGTTTACCTTACCGGAGAACCCCAAACGGCGCTGGAAAACCAAAAATACCGAAGGTATTTTCTTAGATTTGCTCCGATCGGGAGCTATTTAAAAGAAAGGAACACCAGAACCGTCATTAGGACGGTCCGATCTACGTTTTAGTGTAAAAAAAAAATTCCGGCCACCGCCGGCAAACGACGGCCGGTCGGTGTGCTTCTCTCTGTTTTAGAGAGAAGCGATAGAGTTTTAAACTCTCTCAAAGAAGAGAGAGAGAGGGAAAAAAAGAAATGAGAGCTGGCCCTTCGGGCCAGCCGGTTTCGGGCTTTAAATAGCCCTTCCCGAACGACGTCGTTTCGGGGAGGGCTATTTGTGTAATTAACTAAATGTTAAATCCTGTCCACAATCCCTTAAACTTGTAATCCTTACATTTTAGTCACTAAATCGAATTTATAATCCTTTTAATTTGGTCTCTAAATTTTATTTATTTATATTTTAGCCCTTAACCGTATTTATAAATATTTAGGATAAATAACATATTTAGTCCTCTAATTTTATTAACTAATATTTTAACCCCAAATCATATGTTTAGTTTATTTTAATCTGATTTTCGAATTTTATATAATTTTAGTTTAGTTACTAAATTAATAAATAAGAAAAATAGCATGTTTAATCCCTATAATTTTAAATAATTAATTAAATTAAGTATTTAATTTTATTAGATTATAATTTAGTAATTAATATTTTCATTGCTTTTAAATATATAGTTCTAATCGTATTTTTATTGTTTATTTATGTTTTAATTTTATTTATATATTTAAATATTATTTTTATTATTATTATTATATAGTCATAAATTATTTTTATTTTAATATTTATTTATTTTTCAATATCAAAGAAAAGGGCAGTCTTAATACAACTGGATGTCCTATTCTGATATTTTAAAATTAAATATCATAAAAAATTTTAATTATTATAATATTTATTAATATCAAAGAAAAGAGCTGTCTTAAGGCACCTAGAAGTCATTTTCTGATATTTCTAAATAAATAAATATTTTATTTATAAATATATATATAAATTAATGTATATTTTTCATAGTTATAATCTTAAAATAATAGGATTATAAATTAAATATATTTTGAATTTTTTAAATTTCCAATAATAGAGACAATTTATAATTAAAAAGTACCAATTTTGGGCATTGTAGGGGTGCTAATCCTTCCCTAAACGTAACCGACCATGAATCCCTTTTTATTATTAAAAAGAACGAATTTTTGGTTAAAACGCAGATCAGTTTATCTTTTAATTGACGTTTTCTTAAAAACTCTTTTAAAGGATGATTTTTAGGTATTCGACCTACCTGATCCGAAAGGCCGATGGCGACTCCCATTTTATTTTAAATACCATTTATTCATATCACTTTTCCCGCCAAGTAAAAAAAATTCATG